ATCTCATGTATTTCCTAAGAATGCACACAGTCCCGGGCATGCACACAGTAGTATACAGAGTCCCAGAATGATTTTCGAGCTTTTCAAATCTCCTATGGATATCTTATTCTCTAGAATTTCCTTTTTAGCTTTTTGGTTGGCTTATTGTTTGCCCCAGTACTTATTTACCTTCTCAGGCAGCCAAAATCTTAAACAACTGCCTCTAATAGTTTTCCACAAAGCACCCTGGGGAAAAGGCTTTTTCACAAAGAGTGAGCTTCCAATCAGGTCAAATAAAGAAAGGCTTACACAAGAGGTCTTCCAAGGAACCATCAGTCAAATAATGATAGTTATCTGGGATTGGGACTTTGAAGGACCTCCAATACTGTTCTTTACTCTCTGCTGGCTCCTGGAGCTGCTGATTTTCACCAGGATTATGGGCTGTGGTTTTCAAGGCTACTGTGGAGCTGGGTGGTGGGGCAGATGGGAAAAGGGCAAGTTAAAACACTACAAAGAACTTCCCTGGAAGTCCAGTATGTAAGACTCCATGCTCCCAATGTAGGGGGCCTGGGTTCAATCCCTGGTCAGGGAACTAGATCCCACATGCATGCTGCAACTAGGAGTTCCCATGCCACAGCTAAGAAGTCCATCTGCCACAACTAAACAGGCCGCAACAAGATCCCACATGCTGCAACTAAGACCCAGTGCAGCCAAAATAAATAAATATTTAAAAAAACCCAACAACACTATAGAACTTGCTGTTCTTACACGAAATTCAGTTGTTTTTCTTGAAACCCTCCCCAGATTGCTGCATTTGGTTAATTTACAGAAGTCTGATAAAGACAAAGCAATAAAGGAAACTGAGAAGGAATGGCTGGAAAAATGTTAGGAAGAAAATCATGCAAGAATGATGTCAGAGAAATCACAAGAAGAAAATTTCGACATGGAGGGAGTAGTGAATAATATTTAACTACTGTTGTAAAGGTTATATAAGTTGAGGACTTAAAAATGCCTACTCAATTTACTGTCATGGTGGGATAGGGAGAGGGGAGTCACTGTAACATTGTGAAAACTGTTTTGGTGGAATAATTTGATAGCAGCCATATAGGCATGGTTTGAGGAGCGAGTGAATGGGTATTAGAACAGCTCTGTGTGTTTGTTTCCCCAAGGTTCTGTATCCTTTATTTCTCACTCTTTATTTCTTTCCTTGGAAGTCTCTTCAGCTCAAATCCTGATATACGGTGCTGATCCTTCCCTTGTCTTAGATATTCAAATGATTGTGGGACAGCTTGTCCTCTAAGAGCCTTGAATCAGAATACCTGAAAGTACACCTATTTTCTTTCTTTTAAAGGTGATCTTGCTGGCCTGCAGGATGGAGTCATGTTTGGTTCTTTCCTTTACCTCTGAAGTAGATGTCTATAGGATTATCTGCCTAATACCCTTGTCCTAAAAACTGACCCCCATATCATATCCAATTGTGGGAGCCTTTTTCTTGGAGCTATGTGACCCAGCCCTCTGGCCATAGTTGATGGGAACAACTGGGGTAAGGAAACCAGCTGAATCAAAGTCCTTCTCTGGAAATTCTGGAACAAGAATGAGAATAATTTTTCCCTCTGCATGCCTCAACTAAAGGATGCAGAGTTTGAGTCCTACTGGCAAACTTGCTTACTGCCTTAAAAACTTGAGAAGACGAAAATGGTCTTTGGAGAAAGAAAATATTGAAGAAAGTCCAAACAGCTTTTAAGTTTCTGGTTACAGCTATGTCTCAGTTACACCTGTATTCCTATCCTTTGGTACTGGCATATATCCCATGATGCCAATGACATTCCTATTTTTACTTTAGCTCTTTTGAGATGGGTGTCTTTCACTTATCCTCACCCACATAAACTCACCAGTCAAGTCCTACCTACAACCTCTTTGCTCTGTGCAGACTTGACTGGAGAGTTTATTCCATAATATTTAAAATAACTACTGATAGGGAAGGACTTTTCCCATTTTGTTATTTAATTTCTGTATGTCTTAAAGCCTTTTTCCCCCTTATAGCCTTTTTCCTCCTAATTTCCTCCATTACTGCCTTCTTTTGTGTTTAGTTGATATTTTGTAGTGAAACGTCTGAATTTCCATTGTGTATATTCTATAGTTATTTTCTTTGTAGTTACTATGGGGATTACATGATAACATCCTAAATTATAATAATCTAATTTGAATGGATACCAAGTTAACTTAAGTTGTGTTCCTGTGCTCCAACTTTATGTTATTGAGGTCATGAATTACATCTTTATATACTGTGTACCTACTAACAGATTTATAATTATTTTCTATGCATTTGTCTTTTAATTCCTGTTGAAAATAAAAAGTGTAGTAAAATATTATAATAATAATTGTTTTTATATTTGTCCATGCATTAATCTCTTTTGGAGATCTTTACATTCTTCATATGGGTTCAAGTTGCTGTCTACGATCCTTTCATTTCAACCTGTAGGACTCCCTTTAACATTACTTTTAGGGAAGGTAATGAACTCCTTCACCTTTTATTTAGCTAGGAATGTCTAAATTTCTGCCTCATTTTTGAAGGAAAGTTTTGCTGGATATAGAATTCTCCATTGACATTCTTTTTTGTTTCAGCCCTTTAAATATGTCATTTTATTGCCTCAGGCCTCCAAGGTTTCTACTAGAAACTTGCTAATAATATTATTGAGGATACCTTGTATATGATAAGTTGCTTTTCTCTTGCTGCTTTCAAGATGCTTTTTTCAAGCTGAAAAGCTTTTAATAGTTTGATTATAATTTGTCCTAGCATGGGTCTCTCTCCTGGTTGATTGTATTTGGAGTTCACTGAGGTTGGATTTGTAGATCCATCTCTTTCCTCAAATTTGGGAAGTTTCCGGTCATTATTTCTTCAAATAGTCTCTCTGTCTCTTTCTCACTTGTCTTTCTGAGACTCCCATAGTTGTTGGTATGCTTGAGAGTGTCCCATAAGTCCTTTAGGCCCATTTCACTTAATCTTTTTTCCTTTTGCTCCTCAGACTCAATGATTCTAAATGTTGTATCTTAAAGTTTGCTGATTCGTTTTTTCTGTCTGCTAAATATAAGTGAGAGCCACCCCAGTTTTCTGGAACAAAAGTGGAGTAGAACATTTATCTAAGCTGTTTACCTCTTGATAGTTACTGTTGTTATTAAATGGATCTTTGACAAGAGATAGTAATCAAAGCCATAGGATAAGGCCTGAAAAAAAGCTGAGAAATGGGGAGTAACAGGGTTTCAGTGAAAAAAAGGTATTTACTAGAAATGAGGCAGGGCTCAAAGGGGGAACACCAAACTCTTTGGCTAGGAATTATCAGCTGGCCTAGGTAACCTGATCAAAATATACACAGGGCACAGGATGCATTTTGGTGAATAGTGGAGTTTCTTCATTTTTCTGAAATTTCGTGGTAATCTCTTCATATTCCTTTTCACTCTTAGTAAATTTAAATAGCTTTAAAATGCAAATATTGCCTCCATTATATCTGAAACCCTGGTGGAAAAGGCAGTGTACATGACAACTAAGGAAAATTCTGATAAAATTTGCTATGAATTAACCTCCTGCTGTGTTTCCTAAATGGCAAGAGGGATGGGGATGGAGGATGTTTGTATCCCCATGATGTAACACAGCAATTCCTATTAATAGGGTATGATTTCATTATTTAGTTATAAGTGACTTATCACAAATATAAATTGTACCTGCCTCAAAGAATTACGGTGAGGCTTAAGTTAGTAAATGTAGTTAACAGAATAGTACATGGCCCACAGTAAGCATTCAGTAAATATTAGCTATTATTGTTTTTATTGGGATGCACATCACTATCCTTAGCAAGTAACAATATACACTGATAGGTCAACTGAAGTTACTCTTATCTAATATTATATTAATATTGAATATCCTTTATCCATTAGGAATGAAGATTTGAAAGTGGTCTACGCATCTTTTGGGTTTGATCAGTTTGGAACTTTTTCAGGGTGGGGGAGGGAGAACAAAATCATCTTTCTGGTAAACAACTGTCAGCTTTGGTATTCAGCTTTAGAGCTACCCTGGTAGTATGGTTTTGAGTCCTTCAGTACCAACTGGAAGACTGGGATCTCTGGTGGTGATGTTAGAGAGAAGCCAACAATTGCTCCTTTTGGCTGCCAACATTACAAAAACAAAGCACAAGATGATCCATCAATGGATAATCAATGTTATAATATTTTCAAGCAACTTACCAAGTGGAAACCTTACTGAAACTTCTTTGTTTTATAGGAGTTCCATGAAGAAATAAATTCTATTACAATTTCTGAGGGTCCTCTGCCTAATTTAGGAATAGGAAATACCAGGAACAATAAAAATTGGGATGTCCAGAGATCAGTACTTTCAGAGTTGGTCACATTAGGATAAATTGAGTTTAGAAAAAGGAAACTCATGCTGATATTATTATAGTTTTTAAAGACATCATTTTTCTATATTATAAAGTTTTGAATGGACTTTTAGATTCAATTTAGGCTTTTGATTTATCTTCTTTGGAAGACTCACAGTAAAATGAATCTAGTGGCTTCTAAATTAAAAAAAAAAATCACCCATCAAACCTAAATTTCACGTGAAGTACTTTGTCTGATATAGGAGGGAATTCTTCTGAGATGTGACATGTCTATGTATAAAAATAAAGGATTATATAAGTTCCTGTGTTGGTTAATTTTAATAATAGCACTAATAATAATAAACTGTTTTCCTTAAAATCTTATGAAAAGAACAATGACTTTTTAACTTTTTGCTAAGTAGTTATTAATTACTGATTATTAATTTGCATATTAACACAATTCCAAGTTAAATATCCATATTGTACTATTTACCTAGGCTTAATTCTTGTTTTTTCTAAAAAAAGACACTGTCTTCACAAAGAAAATAATTCAAATTAACCAGCCATGCCCTACAAATGTAAATACAAGTGATACTGAATAAGTATTGATTAAAATAAAAAGCACTTTAAAAAAACAGCATTAAATCTTACCAACTCCAGAGGTTATTGATTCTGCATCAATGTCACTAGCTCTCTTTCTTGCCACTTCAGCTAGTGCCAATTCGCCCTTTTCTAGTGCAAGGTAATGGATGTCCTTTGGAAATAAAGCAAGATAAAAGATTAATCCAAAATGTATCTTAGTCAAGTTACAAAGGAGATTTTGAAAGAAAGAACTTACTGTTCTTTCAAAACAGTAACAAAAATAGATCACAAAACAGACATGGCTGATGATAAAATACAAAAATTTTGTATTTTAATTTTCTCAGTTTTCTAATACAAGCAAATTTTCTTGAATTGGAAATCATAGCTATAACTAGTGGCAGTTATTTAAATAAATTAAGTCTTTAGGGAAAAAAACAAGCTTTTAAATCCAATGTTTGATGTACTTAGTTTTGTCAGGGAATAAAAATCTTAGTGGCTATTTTCTTTAATGAAATTTTACTATCTGAGATAGCTTCTTCAAAATTCAATTGTTCATTATGATAAGCATTTTATAAGGAATACTATTATACAAATTTGTCTCTGATATTTATGTGTCTGGCACATGTTACTTTATTAATATTATTAACACTACTATCATCTTGAACTTATTCAGTCAACAAATAATCAGTGCCTATTAAGTTGTGAAAAGAGAGATCAATTACAATACCGTTTCTCAACAAGCTTTCAGCCCAGTAGGGAGAAAGACAACTGTAAACAACAGTTAGTAACATAGTGTAATAGGTTTTATGGCAGAGTTAAGAATGGTGTAGAACCAAAGAGGAGGAACTGATCCTTGATCTGCATCTTGAAGGATAAATAAGAGTTATAGTAGAAGGGAAAATGGAGAAAAGGCAACAGAAAATGAATGATACCTGGTGCACATACATAGAGAAGCTTGAGAAAACACAGTTCTATCAAGCAATGGCAGGTCTTTCAATACGGAAGGAATGTTGGTTGTGTGGGAGAATGCAGTGGAAAATAATTCTAAAGAAGTAGACAGAGCCACTAAAAAGGACTTTGAACTCTTTTTGGTACACAGGGTGACTGTTGGAATGAGAATTTTATTGCAATAAAAATGGAAAAAGAACATGAACAACAAGTTTTCAATGATGAAATATAAATGGCCTATAATCATGAAAAGGTATTTCACTGTCCTAATGTTCAAAGTTGAAAAAATGTAATTTCAAACTGGACAAATTTTTTAAAGTTATTACTTACTGGTTGCAAAATTTGGGGGAAACAGGCACTTATTACATTTACTGGGAATATAGACTTTACAGAGCAGGGGTCAGTAAACTATGGCCTATAAGCCAAATATAGCCTGCCTTTTGTACAGCCCTTGAGTAAAGAACGGTGTTTACCTAGCATAATGCCCTCCAGGTCCATTCATGTTGCTGCAAATGGCAAAATTTCACTCTTACTTATGGCTGAGTAGTATTCCAGTGTGTGTGTGTGTGTGTGTGTGTGTGTGTGTGTGTGTGTGTGTGTGTGTGTGTGTGTGTGTGTGTGTGTGTGTGTGTGTGTGTGTGCGCTTTTTTTTATGACTTTTTTTTTTTCAGTTGCGTTGGGTCTTCGCTGCTGCGCGTGGGCTTTCTCTAGTTGCAGCGAGTGGGGGCTACTCTGCGTTGCAGTGCACGGGCTTCTCATTGTGGTGGCTTCTCTTATTGCGGAGCATGGGCTCTAGGTGCCCGGGCTTCAGTAGTTGTGGCTCAAGGGCTCTAGAGCACAGTCTCAGTAGTTGTGGCACACGGGCTTAGTTGCTCTGCGGCATGTGGGATCTCCCCGGACCAGGGCTCGAACCCATGTCTCCTGCATTGGCAGGGAGATTCTTAACCACTGGACCACCAGGGAAGCCTGATATGTACCACAATCTTCCTTATCCACTCATCTGTTGATGGACACTTAGGTTGCTTCCATATCTTGGCAAATGTAAATAATGTTGCTATGAACACTGGGGTGCATGTATCTCTTCGAATTAGTGCTTTTGTTTTTTTCACATATACACTCAGGCGTGGAATTCCTGGGTCATATGGTAGTTCTACTTTTAGTTTTCTGAGAAACCTCCATACTGTTTTCCACAGTGGCTGCGCCAGTCTACATTCTCACCAACAGTGTATGAAGGTTCCCTGTTTTCTACATCCTTGCCAACATTTGTCATTTATGTTCTCTTTGATGACAGCCATTCTGACAGGTGTGAGGTGATATCTCATTGTGGTTTTGATTTGCATTTCCCTGATGATTAGTGATGATGAGCATCTTTTCATGTGCCTGTTAGCCATCTGCATTTCCTCTTTGGAAAAATGTCTATTCAGTTCTTCTGCCCATTTTGTTAACCAGGTTGTTTGTTTTTTGATGATTAGTTGTATGAACTATTTATATATTTTGGATATTGACCCCTTATCATATTGTTTGCAAGTATTTTCTCCCATTCAGTAGGTTTTTTGGTTTTGTCATTATGCTAAGTGAAATAAGTCAGACAGAGAAAGACAAGTACTGTATGATATCACACGTGGAATCTAAAAAATACAACAAACTAGTGAATATAACAGAAAAGAAGCAGACTCACAGATATAAAGAGCAAACCAGTAGAGAGGGAAGAAAGGGCATTATAGGCATAAGGGATTAAGAGGTACAAATTATTAGGTATAAATTAAGCTACAAGGGTATATTGTATAACACAGGGAATATAGCAAATATTTTATAACTATAAATGGAGTATAACCTTTAAAAATTGTGAATTGCTATATTGTACACCTGTATATATAATACTGTACTCATCTATACTTCAATTTTAAAAGAAAATAGTGTTTACATTTTTAAATGGTTGGAAGAACTGTGCTCAACCACTCAACTCTGAATGGCTTTGGAATTACCTTATGCTGAAGACTTGAAAGTGTTTCAATCTGAAACTATTAAAAGCAAAACAGTACTTATATGTGAAACTTATATTGTGATAAAGTCATTTCAGTGAGAACGTTGTTTGACTTGCAAGTAATAGGCTGTGTTACAGGCTGTGTTATACACTTCCTGCACTGTCAAAAGTTAAAAAAAGAAGTGAGATCTCCATTCATATACAAATTCCCAGCAATGTATTTCAGTCCACAGAAACATTTTTCAACCTTGATACAAGTGCAAAGGTAATGTCCATATTCCAATGTTGCAATTAAGGAACTTTAATAGGAAGTAATTAATTTGCAATGTAGTAACATGTTAAAAGGCAGTCTAGCCTTTAGCTAATAGAATTGTAAAAATGCCTTCTGATCGGTGAATATGTGCAATTAAACCATACGCTCATGGATTGATATCAGTATTTGGCAGTACTTATCTACGAGGAAAGAAATTTGCAAAGTTGAAATACATAAAATCTCATCATAGATCAGTATTCACAGATGAACATTTGCAACAGATTTTGTTGTTAAGGAAAACCACCTTTCAACCCTTATTAAGAGAAATGTTATCCCCCCACAAAAGAATTCCATTATTCACATCTGTAGAACTTTATTATGAAAACTGTACTCAATTAATAGATTTTTAATTTTATCAATAAAGATTTGTGGAAATTTGTTTTCTATCATACTCAATTATTACATTTAAAATTTTATCAATAAAAATCTATGGAAATTTGTTTTCTCAAGTACCTAAATAATAACCTCAATTTTTCCTTTTGGCCCACAAGCTTATAATATTTGCTGTTTGGTCCTTTATGGAAAAAGTTTGATGATTCCATATTTTAGTAATACATCAGAATTCAAATTTGCATACATATACTTTTGGAAAATCTTCTTAAGGAAATGATGTGACCAATCTTATGTCCAAGATTGGTGATGACAGCAATACTTTTTTTTTTTTTTGAGACTATCTTTTTTTATTTTTGGCTGCACCATGCAGCATGTGGCATCCTAGTTCCCCAACCAGGGATTGAACCCAGGCCCTCGGCAGTGAAAGCATGCAGTCCTAACCACTGGAACACCAGGGAATTCCTGACAGCAGTACTTACAACGATAAAAAATCAGAAGCAACTTAAATGTATATCAATTGAAAAAATCATGTTGATTTTCTTTTTTAATCCAAGAGTGGCATGATACTTTCATAATAGATCCTTATATTCAATGAAGAAATTAGCAGTAATTTAAAAATATATATACTCCGGTATTCAGTTTGCTAGTGTTTTATTTAATACTTTTGCATTTATGTTTTTTTTTTTACTGAGGTATAGTTGCTGTACAGTATTATATAAGTGCGTCTGTGTTCTTAAGAAATTCTATCACTTTACTTGCACTTGACTGCTAACAAGCCCTCAACTAGTATCAAAGTTATACTAGCCTTACAAATAAGCTAAGGCAGCTTTTTTTCCTATCTTCTTGTCTCTGGCAAAATTTATATGTGATTCTTCACTGAAAATAAGCAAAAGATATACAATGCATTTAAGAAGAAATTACCACCCATTACTGAGTGACGTAAATGAACACCTGATTAAAATACAGATATACACCTGCTTATGGCTGAAAAGATTATACATCATAAAGATATCAATTCTGACCCCAAATAATCTGTAAAATTCAGTGGAATTCCAATCAAAATCCCTTCAATATTTTTCATGGAACTTGACAAGTTGATCTTAAAATTCATATGTGAAAGTAAATGGTCAAGAATATCTAAGACTTATTCTAGTTAACATTAAGACTATATAATAGCACTAGTATATAGGCATATAAATCAGTGAAAAAGAAAGTTACCCATAAAAAATATCAGTTTTTTTGTGAGTTACTAATGTTAGTATTTTATGTTTAACAGTGATGTAAGTGTTGGCTATAAGATCTGTGGTCCACAAATTATTTCTGGAACATATTCTCTCTCTCTCATTCTTAATTCTGTGATTTCTACTCTTAATTTTTTAACTGTTATAGGGAATTTGGGGTCATTAATTTCAAGAAGGTAATAAGGCTTAACAGTTCTTGAGTTGATATTATATCTGTACCATGAAGGTTTTCATTTCTGTGGACCTTCTCACTATTCATATATATGAATGTAGTTTTTAGTAAAATGCAGTAGAGAGTATATTTCTGTAACTCCATACCTCTCAGTTTGAGACAGTTCATGCATGAATCTTTA